GGGGAACGAACAGCCTTGGCCTCCTGGAGCTTCCATTCTAGCTGAACTTATGCTCTCCACCACCTCTCACCTGGGCTCCTCTATCTGCCACCTAACTGGAGTCTCTTCTCCAGATTACTCTCCCCACAGCAGCCTGGGCAAGCTTTTTAAAAGACAAATCTGAACACCTCTTTCATTCTAAAATCCTTTAATGGTTTCTCATTACGCTCAGAATAAAGTCCAAGGTCCTTAACACTGCCAACACGGCCTTGCCAGTGGCTTTAAAACTTTTTCTTTCTAACCCCAGCCCATATAAATTATACCTCATGAGCCAGCATCCACACACATGCATATATGTGAAACAGAAGTTTCATGAAACTTCTCTTTACTAGGTCTGACACACTTGATGTTTTCTATTCGATTCAATTCTGTTTTCATTTTTAAGGTTGGTTGTGATCCACTAAACTGGCTTTTCCATCCTCAAAGGATACAGGGACTACGCTGCAGCTTCATCTGTACGACTCTCTCCAACTAGGTATATCCCAGCCACTCTGTGCTTCTTTCAGTTGCATGGGGTGCTTGGTCCTTCCTGCCTCAATGCTTTTGTACTTGCTGATCCCTCAACCATGAACACTCAACACGTCCCTGTCCTCTTCAGTCTCCTAATCTCCTTTTCCCTAACACATATTCCAGGTCTTGGGTTAAATGTCACTCCAGTCAGGCTAGTATAAGGTCCCTGATCATACTCTCACAGTATCCTTGCTCTTCCTTCACAGCCTCTAGCGCAGTTGTAAGGAAATGATTCTCTGAGCAATGCCTGCCCCTCCCTCCCTCCCTCTCCCCGCTTTTCCCTCTCTCTCTCCCTCCTCTAAGCTACTTGAAGGTGGCAACTGCTTCCATTTTGTTCACCCAATAGACCTAGTGCCCCACACTGTCTAACACATTTGCTGAAAGATAAACCATCTCTGCCCTTGGGGACCTTATACAGTCTAGGAAGGGAGCATAAGTACACCAACAGAACCTGTGTGTCAAAAGACGGGTTTTGAATTTTTCCTAAGTCTCTCTGTTAATGCTCCCATGAGACTCAATCTTCTGGGCACTGTGTCTAAAGACAAGTCGAGTGAAATTAGCAAATCAAGCTAGATGCAACATTATGACACAAATTAAGAACTTCACAAGTTAACACTGACACTTCACACGAATTCATCCTATATTTCAAACTCTGCTCTAATGTAAAGACAACGATGAGAAGCACAATTTTTAAATTTCCCAAGTTTTATGGAGAAGGTTTATGAAAGGATACTTTATAACAATGCTATTTTTTACACATAATGTCTAAAAATAATTCCTAGAAAATACTTAGGGGGCCTATTCTTTCAAAGACAAATTTAATTATTGTTATTTCAAGTAGAATGAGCAGAGAAAAACAGGACATGACAACATAATCCACCATTTTAAAGAAAAAAGGAAATTATGAAATAAAGCATCTCAGTATGCACGCAATTTTTTTTTCTTGAGAAAGGCAAAGTAAAGTTTTTATAAATACTGAGTTGTATTGATCTGAATAGAGAACTCTGATTCCTTTATTATCTTGGGTGTTTTTCATTTCATAGGACCCATTGCTCAAATATTATTCCATAAAGAGTGACACACATTATTTCCAGGGAGGTGCATGACAGGCTAAAAAGCCTAAATTCTGTTGTCTTTTTCCGAGAGGTGCCAAAGGCAAGTATCTTCATGATTTGCAATTTTAAAATGCTGAAGAAAGGGTGTGGCAACATAAAAAAGTAAGGTCACTATCAGGTCCCATGTTAAAAGAAATCCTTCAAATTCTCAAAGTCTGAGTTTTAAAAACCTTTGAAAGTTAAAACATATTTTAAACTCTGATTCAGTTATTACATACCTCTTCCCCTCAAGAAAGGAAAAAAAGAAATAGGCCTCAGTGCAAAGCATCCCAACAATTCACACAGCTTCAGAGATTTAGAAGAACCAGCAGCTTTGCTGCCTTAAACATCTCTGATAAGTTCCTTCGGTTACACATGCACACACTATGGCCAAGAGAGGAAGCTACTTCTCTCCCAAACCACTTAGAGTGTCTTACTAAAAAGATTAACTTGCATACAGACACTGGTCTCAATCATTAACATAAGCAAGTGCCTCTGCTGTACCTGGTGAAAACGCAGAGTGGAGGGCTCTATCCCCTGAGGACTGATTCAGTAGGCCTGGGATGGGAGCCGCTGCAAAGTACATTTTAAATAAGCAACCCAGGCAGCTTCTGACACAGGTGGTCCTCCTCCCACCACCAGGAAAAACCCATGTAGAAGGCTCACCTGCCTCACTTTCAGTAAGGACTAAGTCGGAGACGTTTCTGACATAATGGCTTAGACTCCCATCTGGAAAACCCAAGGACAAAGGACCTCCTTACTAACTGTGTTCCACTCTCACATTAGACACTGAGAGATTTGTCATGGTTTGTTCTTTTCCACAAAGACCATATACTAGACAGCAAATACGATGTTATACCCACAATGAAGACCCAGAACTAGATGGAGCGGCAGCCCAAGGCATATTGGTCAGAAAAGGCCCAGAATTCATTAATTTTGTTCTGAAGATTCATAAAGACCCCCAAATATGGCTGACTTTGAACTTCTCCTAAAGGTCTCTAGTGAAAATTTCTAGTGAGCAGTGATCTCTTTCTGTGATCATTCCTCTGAGAGCCTGGCACAGTGCAAACTGATAGAACAGAGCAATAGACAGGCACTGGTGCCTCTGTTAGGATGTGCAGGGAAAGGGAATTTTGAACTGGTTCCCATCTGATAAAAGAATGCCAATGAGTGGTTGAAGAGGAGGAAGCTGAAATTGCTGTTAAAATGTATTAGGTATTACTTACAAATTTCATGCTAATTTCTTTTTACAAAAAAGATAGAGTTGGGTTTAAAGTTACAATCCCTTCCAGTTCTCTTCTTTGGAAAAGCTCTTGGTGGATGAGGTAAAATCTCTCTACCACAAATAGAAGCTCTCAAACTCACTTCATTTGTTAGAATTCTGCGGAAAACCACTAAGGACAGAAGAAGTTGCAACTTAGTTCATTCATCATCAGAACAGATGGCTTGAGAGTGCTTTACCAAAGAAGCCCCCTAAAAAATCTTTTTAATTGATGTACCAATTTCCTCTATTCAATATATTTTACAAATATGAATTCTAGCAACATTGAAAATGGCCATGAAACATTACTCTCAGTTTGCAATATGAAAAATTAAAAGACTAACAGATTAAGTTGGTATAGTGGAAAGAGTATAGTCCTGCGGTCCCACAGATTTGGGTTCAAATTCCAACTTTACCACTTAGAAGTTGTGTGAATCTAGGTAAGTTACTTCTTCAACGTCCATTTTCCTCACATGTAAAGTGGGGAAAATGATAACTTCACCATCATTTGAAAACTTGACAATGTAAATAAAGCACTCAATTAAGGTGACTAGTTCACCGCTGGCACTATGTAAATGGCAGCTGACGTTATTATCGGAAATATCTACACTTCCAGATCAGAAAATAGTTTAAAAAACCAAAAACGATTCTAATTCTCCTAAGCGCCAGTCTAAGATTATTAACCAAACTTTTACAGTTAAGAATATATTTCTGTAAATTTCAGTGAGAACATTTTCAACTTACCTTTCAATTCCTATCTCAAAACAAAGTTTCTATTCCTTTGATAGTTCTCCACAGGCCCCACCTCCATAACCATTTTCAAAACAGCCCTCCTTTCTTCAACATTTCTCCAGTGCCTCCTTCTTAAAGTCCTCCCCTTTCACACCTAATATTTTAGTCCTGAGACCTCTGGCTTAATAAAAAGAACCCCCAAGAAGGCATTTATACAAAAGCTTTAGTTTGCAAGTGCTTGTACCAACGTTAATTCTTACAAATACTTGATGCTTACAATACCCCAATTAGATGCACAGGCTGACCTTATATCTAGATTTTACAGTTACAACCAAAGATACAGAGCTAGACAACAGCCCAGCCCAGCCTAAAACTCAAATTTTTAGATTTCAAGTTCAGTACTATCTCTACTCAACTTACAAAGCTACTACTTCTTGCATATTCTTTATATTATTTGCTCACAAAACATGAGGGAAAACTCTATCTCCTAGTATCACTAGCACTGCTTAAAAAGGGCAGATTCCTCCCTACAGTATTTTCTGGAGTATATAAACAGTTCAAGCAACACCACCACACTGAGACCAAAAGTTACTTTCAATGGTTCCTGCACAATCCTCAAGGAAAAAATAATTCTGGGATGCTGCATGAAAGAGGCCTCGGCCACAGTCCCTCTATGCTGTCCTATATATTTCTCCACCTCTGCTCTCTTTCCTCCTCCCAAGACTTTTCTTCGACCTGACATCTCAACGGGGACCTTTCTCAACCACAAACGACCCTAGCTGCCAAACAGATTCGTGCCCACGGCTAAGTCTTCCCTGCTATGCACGGCGGAGAAGGTTCCCCGGAACATGTGCGAGTGTCCCTCCTTTCTGTCCATATCCCTTGTTTACAAAACTTCATCTTCCAGACTCCGCACCTTCTCAGCAACCCGCCCCCCCACCCCCACCGCCCCACACTCACCCTTGCACCTCCTCCAAAACCTCCCAGCCTCCCGGGTTGGCGGGCGATACTTCCTATCTCCCCGGGCCGAGATCGCCTGGTCTACACCTCGCCGCCCCGATCTAGCCCCGGCAGAGCGCAGACTCCTCCGGTCCCCCGAGCCTGAGGCCCACCATCCCGGTCCCTGCCCCGCCTCCCCGCCCAAGGCGCCAAGTCCTCGGGGGCTCCGTCTCCAGGCCCTGGCCGGACTCCGAGGGCCCCGGGAGCTACGGGGAAGACAGGAAGGAGGCGGCAGCGGTGGCCAGGGCACGAGGTGGGCCGGGCTCTAGGGCTGGGAGGCCCCGGGCCCGGCCGGCTCTCTGCTCCCGTGGCCCGGACTCAGCCCTCCCGCTCCGCCAGCCCGCGCCTCCGCGGCCTGCCCTCACCTGATCCAGGTTCTCGTCGCTGCCGCTGTCCTCCGTGTCCGAGTCGATCACGACGCGGCCTTTCCGCTTCTTTACCATGGTCGTCCCCCGGCTCCCACGCCGGACGCCGCCCGGACTCCCCTCTTGCCCGCCTGCCAGTGGGACCGCCACTGCCGCCGCCACCACCACCGCTCGACCCACACAAAGGCGACCGCGCATGCGCGCTCCGCTCCGCCCCTGGCCCCGCCTCCCGCTCGGCGCACGCCGTTCGCCGGAGCCCAGCGCCACGCCCTGCCCCGCCCCGACGCAGCGTGGGAGGCGGGGCCTCGCACCAGGCTGGGTTCCGGACAGCGGACCGCGGTCCTTTGCCCAGCGCGGGGCCTTGGAAACCTTGGGTGTGTCTGCGCTGCGGGGCCGGAGGTCAGTGTGCTGCCTACCTGTCGTGGACTGGAGCCGCAAGCATCTGGGTCTTCTCTGAGGAGACTTTCAACTGTCTGAAACTGATGGAGTGTCGAGGGCGACGTCAGGGGCCCCCCGCCGGGAAGACACAAGTTGCCTGGACCATGCCGAGAGCACCCGTTGGGAGATGAACTGTGCCTGCCTGAGCAGTGCGAGTGACAACTGAACTGGGACCTGGAAGACGCATCTGAGTTACGCAAAAGAAGAGTAGAGGGAAGGGTGTTCCGAGCAGAGAACCGCGTGGGCAAAGGCTCAGCGATAACGGAAAAAGTTGGGTTCAGGAAACTGAAAGTTCATTACGGCCGTACTGGTGGTGTGGTGTGTGAGGATAAGGCTGCGGAGGGACGCATTGGCCGCATCATTCAAAGCATGAGCTATATTATGAAATTTGAACTTTAATATTGAAAGATTTTAAGGATATTATTAGATTTGTGTTTTAAAAAGATTTAAAAGATTTAAAAGATTCGCAGTGTAGCGAACGGATTAGAAAGGAGTGAGACTAAGTCCAGGGAGACCACTTAGGCTATTGGTGTCATTTTGCCAAGAGACAATGGCGTCCTGAACTAAGGAAGAAGCAGTGGAAATGGAGAGAAGTGGATAGATTCTGGATAATTTGGAAAGTAGAATTCCCAGGACTTGGAGATTAGTTGGGAGATGGGTAAGGCGAGGTCCCAAACACAAATGATGCTTAGGTGCTGGCTTAGGAAGCTAGTGGTCAGTGGGCCCTTCATCAAGATAACACAAGTGGAGAGGAGGTTTGGGACCCTGATGTGTGTGGGAAATAAGTTCATTTTTATGCCTGTTGAGGTCAGCTGATAAAAAGGACAACTCCAGAAGTGATTTTTTTTTTCCTGGGATTTGGAATATACGGTAGGGAGTGTAAGCAATAATAATTTGAAACTGTTCTCAAAACTTTTCGGAGTCCATTAAATCTTTATTCTGATAGTGAACTTGCGAGTTGGACCCCATTCTTCCCTAGCCGTTCCTGGGCACAGGCAGGCTAATGAGTTCTTGCTCTATGGCTCCCTTTTTCTTTTCCCCTTTACTGTCTAAATTTTATTTTCTCTAGAAAGTTTTATATATATATATATATATATATATATATATATATATATATATATATATATATCTCACAAATGTGCAAGAGAAATCCCTGGAACTAAACACATACCTAGATGTCCACTTTGCTGCCAGTTAGCTTGAAATGGTGTTCAGGATTAAGGTAGAGAAAGCAACCTAAATAAGGCCCAGCTACCTCTTTACTCCAAAAGATTTTTCCTGAGATATAACCCTTAGACTTCTGTCCCCCAACATATCCTTGGAACTGAGCCCATGGCCAGGATGACCCAAAAGGACCGGGCCAGCTCTCCTGTTTCTGGCCGCCCTGGAGCCTAGTGCCCTTCTGTAAGAACCCTCTTTAAATGTGGTAAAAAAAAGAAAGCCATTATATAGTCAGTGGTCTTCAACTGCAATTAAGAAAGGTATGTTCTTTATTTGAGTGAAATCTATTGATTTTGATCTTTCTGCAAGGGGTCTTCTAATGATTTATGGACTGGATTTAGTCCATATCGAGACTAAACAGTGTCTAAATTGAATGAATAAACATCCTCTACACTAAACTTCTTGAGTTGGCTTCCCAGAGAACCCAACCTGTGAGTCTCCTGTTAGTAAAATGAGAGTAATGATAATACCTGCCCCTTTGGTTGTGATAAGGTTTAAATTAGTTAACTCATGTAAAAAAGATGCTTTGAATACTTGCTGGCAAAGAGTAAGTACTCAAATGTCGGCTGTAATTGTTATAATTGTATGGGGAGAGAGATTACAGTAGAGTGGGAAGGGACTGGAGGAAGAGGATTGGGGATGGGAGATTTTTATTTTTTAATTTGTACACTTTGGTGCTGTTTGAACCTTTTACACTGAGTATGAATTTTTTATCAAATTTTTTTAACATTTTTGGGGAAATAGAATAATTTTTTTTTCTGATTATAAAAATGATTCCTACTTATTGTAAAAAAAAAATTAGGAACAGAAAAGTATAAAGGGAAAATAAAAACTGTAAAATTTTACCTTCCCAAGATATCCATTCACTCTTTACGAAAACAAACAAAATTGTTTTGCATGTGCATGTATTTATTCAACATATGTTTATCAAGCACCTACTGTATGCCTGAACTCAGGCACTGAGCTAGAGGCTGAATGAGGTGAATAAGTCACCAGGACAAGATCCTGCTCTCAAGAGCCTGCATTTATACACATACACATTGCGAAAGGCATGCACGTTTAAAATGCTGTAAGGACCCCTTTTTAAACAGACCACCCCAGAGGACCAAAGAGATATTTTTAACGTCTGTTATTTGAGAAAATGCAAAATAACAAGAACTACTGTGGATTCACTAACAATTTTAAATTAACTTGTATTCTGTTTCTTACAACTATATCTAAAAATATATTTGAAAACAGTATGGGGGCCGGCCCCGTGGCGGAATGGTTAGTTCGCACGCTCTGCTCCAGCCGCCCAGGGTTTCACTGGTTTAGATCCTGGGCGAGGACATGACACTGCTCATCAAGCCATGATGAGGCAGCGTCCGCCGTAGCAGAACTAGAAGGAGATACAACTAGAATATACTATCTGCTGGGAGACTTTGGGGAGAAGAAGAAGAAGAAAAAAAGAAGATTGGCAATAGATGTTAGCTCAGGTGCCAATCTTTAAAAAAAAAAAAGAAAAAAGTAGTAATACATGTATGTATGTGAACTTTGAGAGAAGGACTAAGGAAGTCATTACTGTGTATATTTGCCATGGTGTTTGCCTTTTGGTGAGCTGACCATCTCTTAATGAATTCAGGGTCTGAAAACTGGCTCGGATCAGAAAGTGGGCAAAGGATAGCCACTTTTTATGGGGCGACTGCCCATCTATTTTGCCCTTGGGGATGCTGTGTTCTGTTAACCATCTCCTTAGTTCTCTGAGGGTCAGCCCTCTTTGGCTGTCACTTGGACCTTTCCACTCATAATAATTGTATCTACCTGGCTTCTGGCAGTTAAGTGCTTCCACCTGCCTCTTGTTTCAATCCTGTCGCCCCATTGCTGTTAGTGAGCCTAGTTTGTAACAGCCTCTCCTGTCAGTCCTGACCTACATTGAACCACTACTGAACTTCTAGTGGTGCTGGTGCACCTCTTACCATCACATTCCTTATAGCCTTGGTAAATGGAGTATCCTCTTGTCTTCCCATGGAACATAATCATTGGTTGGGATTTCCAACCTTATATAGTACATCCACTTCATTGTGCTCACTTCTCTGAGCTTTTTTTTTTTAAAGATTGGCACTTGAGCTAACATCTATTGCCAATCTTCTTTTTTTCTTCTTCTTCTTCTTCTCCCCAAAGCCCCCCAGTACATAGTTGTATATTCTAGTTGTAGGTCCCTTTGGTTGTGCTATGTGGGATGCAGCCTAAGCATGGCTTGATGAGCAGTGGTGCCGTGTCCACGCCCAGGATCCCAACCAGTGAAACCCTGGGCCCCTGAAGCAGAGTGTGCCAACTTAACCACTCAGCCATGGGGCTGGCCCCAGCTTTTTTTTTTTTAATCTTTTTTGTGGTGAGGAAGATTGGTCCTGAGCTAGCACCTGTTGCCGGTCTTCCTCTTTTATTTTCCCTCCCCAAAGCCCCAGTACATAGTTGTATATCCTAGTTGTAGGTCCTAGTTCTTCTTTGTGGGATGCTGCCACAGCATGGCTGGATGAGTGGTGTGTAGGTCTGCACCCAGCATCCACACCTGTGAACCCTGGGCCACTGAAGCGAAGTGTGCAAGCTTAACCACTATGACACTGGGCTGGCCCTTTCTCTGAGATTTTTAATCCCTTGCTACACCATTTGTCTTGGCAATTCTGGCATTTTTTTTACCTCATGTGGGCTGTAGAGTTTTCTGCGCTTCTAAAAGCCATTCTAGTAGCAAATTTGCACCATTTCCTGGGGTTCTTGGCAGAGTGATAAATTCTTTATCTCAGGAGAGTACTCCTAAATCAATGAATTCTACCTAATCCAATTTTACAATCTGGTCCCCTTGATCAAGCACCCTGAGAATCCAGTCCCTTGCTAGTCTCCTAGCTCTGGCCTTTACATGCTTGGCTGGTTCTTGCAGCTCCTTTGGGGTATAGTCCATTTTACACCTTATCAGGCCCAATATGTCCCCCACTGGGTTATGTAGTGTTTTAACCCTAGTTATTGGCCTAGTGTCCAGGAGGGAGGTAAGGACAGATTTTGAGGAGGGTACATGAGGTCTTACAGGGTACAGGCGTCTGCACTGTCTACAAACAAGAGGGGAATGCTGGATGGTGGGCCATTTCTGTAGGTTCAAGAGGTTCAGGAGTGTCTGGGAATTCAAGATCTTCAGGGGCATCTGTCAGATATCCCCATCCTATATGTCATGGTCCCATTATTTCCCAACTAGGACCCTTAGCCAACCTGCCTTGCTTGGGAGTTTAACCTTATTGGAGCTCAGACTACTCTGGTGATTATCCTGGGCCACAGCTTTCTCCGCCCTCCCACTGCAGCTGTTGAAGCCCTCTTCGTATGCTATTAAGGAGGCCCTCTGGCTTTCACACTTGGCTCTCAGTAACAGCGACCCAATTTCACTCTCCTTATAGCTACTATGTAATCCCCCCCATATTTTTTAAATGCCTGTTGCATTCCACCACTAGTACATTCCCTTCCGCCAGCATACTTTCTCTATTCACCAACGATGGAATATTTAACGATTGGATCGCTACATCTTCATTTTC